AACGCATTGATCAGGGGTCGTCTTAGAAGTCGCTTTCCATCGATGGTTATCGAGCTGATACGAGAAATGCGGAGCAATGGCTTTTCTATGCATGCATCGACCTCAAATATGATAATGGATATGGTATATGGAGGTAGATTGGAAAAGCGGTTTTTAGATCTCCTCTCTTAGTAGATGCAAGTACTAAACGGCTGATGAGAAGAGCCAACATCGTATGGTTGTATGTTTGATGAGAAGAGCCAGAAGCTATCCAGGTAAATTATCTCTATGTTTCACTTCCTCTGTTTTCAATATCATAAATTCTGTGTCTTTTTTTGTTTGTTTGTTTGGGCACAGTTTCACTTCCTCTGTTTTCAATGTCATAAATCCTGTATGCCTTTGTTTGTTTGTTTGGGCACTGTTTCAGCAGTGGCAATCCCCCTGGAAAACATGGGTCGACCGACACAGGCCTTGAAACATATTTGACATCTGCAGAGAGAGTGTCTCAAGCCCTGAAACCGAACCTGGACTACTCGGTGGTAAGAGAATTCGAGACAGTCTGGCTTCATTTGACATATGCAGTTTCTAATCCACTTTGTTGTAAAATATGTCGATAAAGGCATGGTAAAATCAAAGGTGAGAGAGTATGCGTTAAATTTTGGCTCACCATTTCTTCATCCATCTCATTTGCTACAGGAATCAATCTGATATACGGTGTTTGTTTAGCAATGGGCGTTCAATGGAAGCGGAGGCTGAAGCAAGAAGGGGCTGTCGAGAATCAGAATACGGCTTCTCCTGATGGACAGTTACTGAGATATCAGCCTCCAAGACCGAGAAGAAGCAAAATGGATGGGACAGAGCCAAACGTATGGACAAGCTGATCGAACAGGTGGGTCTTTTCTGTTTCGAGTTTTCAGTCAAACCCTAAATTTACAGTCTGCCTCATTGGGTTTTCTGCTTGGATCTGTTTTTTTTTTTTTCCTTTTGTCATTCAGGCAAGAGCCATGATCCTTGGGTGTTCCAAGTGTTTTGGTGTAAGAACACTGTTGCCCCTGGAGCTTCGATCCACTCTGAAGCATGATTTCAGATGCCTTTTCATGACAAATCATTCCCCTCTTGTTGGAAAAAAAATCAAAGGTGAGAAAGCCTGTGGTTTGTGTCTCATTTGTTACAAGAAGAAGAATTGCGCCTGTGGTGCGCCGAAAGAGGTCAGAATCTCTGATCCCGCTTCCTCGATGTCCGAAAGAAACCAATCTTTGTTACAAGAAGAAGAATTGCGCCTGTGGTGCGCCGAAAGAGGTCAGAATCTCTGATCCCGCTTCCTCGATGTCCGAAAGAAACCAATCTCTGTTATACGTTTGTCGGCAACTGGAGATCATTAGCTGTTTCGGTTTCCCTGACAAGCTCTGTAATGTGTGTTTTGATTAGGTTTTTGTTGGCCCGTGACCTGATCGTCTTTGGATTTGCGATTAAGCATGATTCTCGGCTTTTATGGGTTCAAATAAATGTAGCATTGGGTACAAATTTGTTCATACACTTGGGCGGTTGACACGTGGCGTTGTATGCAAAGCATATTATCGCAGAACTAGCAGCGATACAGCTTTAGTTCCACTCTTTCTCTACATATATACCGACCCACCGTTTCATTATAGGTTTTATGCAAAGGGATAACACTTCCTCTTCTTACATGATTATATGGTCGAAAAATTGAGACATGTGATCTGCGCTTAGGTGCTACATATATAAATTAACGAAACAAATGTATCTACTATTTGTTTCGTTAGAATTTATTGTTTGTTTATGATTTAATTCTTTTTTTATGCATACAATTATTTTTATGCATACAAAGAAATTGTTCGAAATCAAATTTCCGAATGGGCACATATCGAGGGATCCAAGTAGATTTTTCGTCGGACGGTAATGATTTCTAACCATTTAAATTGCAATGGAGGTCGGCATTCTGCGGCGGACGAATATGAACCATTTAAATTGCAATGGAGGTCGGCATTCCATATATAAGAGAATTGTGAAAAGATTCCAAAAAATTCTTTTATAATTCATAGGTCAAGCCGGCTGAAAGGTAGAAGCCCATATTATATTATGTCATGTTTGGACCGCCGGAAAATTTATAATGCCCGTTTTATAAATTTTTGGCAGTTTGATTGAGATTAAGCATCATGAATCATGATTATCACTACGAATTGAAGGGAAAAAAAAATTAGGGTTTCATGGATATGCTCTTTGATTGTATTTTAGGATAGGGGTGGGCGATCGGTCGATTTGATTTAATCGGATATCGGTTAATTCGTGTTTGAATATTTCTGATTTAAAATATTCATATCCATTAAGTTATATTATTTAATCGGTTCGATTCTGATCAAATTAGGTTCAGATTTATCCAAAAAAAATCATTCAGTTGTCTTATAAAAACAACAAAATGTTATAAATCAATGATTAAATTAAAAATACATACATACCTCGTTTTGTTATATATTATGGTTATAAAATATCATTATACTAATTTTTCTAATTAGATTTAGAATATATAATATTAATAATTGATGATATATACTTATATAGGTAGATAAACGGTTATATTCGGTTACAAAAGAAATGATATAATAAACTAATCTATCGTCGAGGCAATCGGATCTGTATATACTAGGAAATAACCCGCGCGGATCGCGCGGACTAAAAATACATATAACTTTTTAATATTTTATATAACACATTTTGTTGTTGGTTTTATAATTGATATTCTTAGATGAAGAATTTTTTAAAGTCTCCTAATAACATTTTTTGCAAATTTTTAAGAGAGACTATCTCAGTAACTTTTGTGTTTACATTTTTTTATTGAGTATAATTTTTTTTAAGGGTTATGGACTATAATTATAATAATGGTTGAAATGTTGAGTACGTTGGACGATTGTATAGTTGAATATTTTCATTTAGTTTGACATTATTTTGTTATTTTTTTTAATATGTACTATATGTCTTTTATCACAAAATTTTGCTACATCCTAACTATACTTGTATGAGTTTTTTTAACCGATTCGACGGTAATAAACTACAGTAATTACAGTTTTTTATAGAGGTGAGCATTTTTCGGTATTCTGTTTGGGTTATGATCGTGAATAGTTCGATTCGGTTCTTTCGGTTTTATAAAAATTTGTACCAATCTATTATTATATTATATTCAATTCGGTTTGGTTTGAGTTCTGATTTGGTTATGTTTTTTATTAAAAAAATTATATCTTATTAAAATTTTTTTGATTTTTTAGGTTTGTTAAAATTCTGTTTGGTTTCGATTTGATTGCCAAATATTCTATTTTTTAAAAAATTAATACTATTTGATAATTTTAAAAGATTTGAATCAATAAAATATCATATTTTTCGATTCGGATTATTTCTGAAACGCCCACACCTAGTAAGTAAAAATGTGTATAAAATTTAATTATTAACGTGAGACTTCATAGTAAATGGGCGGTTGAGATTTAGTGAAGTATAAAAGTAATGGTGTAGTTTTTCTCCCATTATAATTTTGAGAGTTTTTTTTTTATTTAAAATAATTTTGATGGTTACAAAGTCATTTTTGACTCTCAAGTAAGAATCACTCTTGATCTCCCTATGTCGTCTTCGCTGCTGGAAAACACCGTATGTGCGCAGCTTTGACCGAAGTTCCTCTGCCTCCGACGTCGATTCCTTTTATAATTTTGGTATGTCTCTTCTTCCCCTCTGCCATTTGTGATGATGAGATTTTATTATTATGGTGATCGTCTCCGATGCAGGATAATAAATACATATAAATTTAAAAAAAATTTATTTTTAGGTTTAACGTTAAATATATTATATTTTGTTTTTAAATTTATATTTCATATCTTTAAACCAAATGACAAATAGTTTTGAAAATACCGAGTATCATTTTTTTAAAAAGTAATTGATAATAACGTTCTATATTTATTTTTATATATATTATAATATAAAATTAAAGGTTCGAAAATAATACTGATACTACATTAATGTATCTAAGATTTTGTATCTTTATACTTTTATTCTTAAAATATAAAATTAAAATTATTTCATATTTGTATGCTATATATATTTTTATCATAATAATAATAATTCAACAATTCATATGAAATCAATCCACTTTGATTTAAATAAATATCAGTTGTAGTCTCATTTAATTGAATATTTCATTTAATTCATTTGTATTTTATTAAATTTATTTCTTATCTTTTATCTCATCTCAATTAGATTCATTTGATCCTATAGAACTCATACTAAGATCTTCGATTATGCAATGAATGAATTAAATTAATTTGTCACTCATGAAAGATCTATCATCGTCTCATAAACCATCTATGATAGGAGTTGGAGTTTTAAAAAAACGCTGCTTGTGAAACTCAGATAGACATTATTTAAAAATCCAATGGCTCCCATAGAATCCTTACACAACTAAATTCATAAGAGTTAACATAAATGTCAATAAAACAACTATTTACTATATCTTGATGATATTTGTCGAAAATCGAAACATTAATAGTTATAGTGAAATTTATGTATTCATTTGATATATGTTTTCTGTTAATACTATAATATTTTGTAGAAATTTATGTTTTTGTGAAGAAAAAGAATGATTTTGATTCTTCAAATAATAAATAATGGAAAAATTTATATTATTGAAATTACATTAGAATAAAATAATTATTTTGAAAATAATTTTATTTTTTTAGTAGAGTATATTAATTTGTTAGTCAACTCAAAAAAATTGAAATGAAATAAACAAATATATTTAGATGTTAATATAATATAAATTATATAATCGAATAAAGATGAATCATCAAAATCTTTCATACGTAAATCATTGACTACAATATAATTTGTTATTTGACTATTTATTTGTAATTCCGATAAAATAAACGAATATTAAATCTAAATTTGTCAAAAATAAAGGGTTAAACAAATATCATTATCCGCGCGCATCGCGCGGTCTAAAAATATACATAGATTTTAAATAATTTATTATTAGTTTTAAAGTTATTTAATTTTATTTGCACCCTACTTGATAATCTTTTTCAGACGAAACAGTTTACTCATCTTAGCTTTTCATATACAATTTTCTATCACCAGCAATAAGAGACCATATATATATATAAAATATTATTCAATATTTATATGTCAACTTCTATCTTCTGACAGTGTTTGAAAGATCCTGTCAAACTTCTCTGACATTAATATATCTCTTGTCTTTTTCATTTGAATTCACCATTTTTGCTTCTGTCATCTCTTCCTCTTCATAGACGGATGCTTTACCAATCAACTATAAAAAATAATTTAAATTTATAGCATACTTTGAATCAATTGTATTTTGATCTCACAAAAAATAAATACAGAGTTTTAACTATAATTTAGACCTTAATTATTAGTTTTAATATATGAAGATTTTTTTTTTAAAATATAACACGTCACTTAGAGCTTTAAATATAATTTAGACCTTAATTATTAGCTTATGAAGAATTTTAAAAAATATATAACCCTTGTCACTTTGCTGTATAGGAAATATACTTGTATATATACCAATATAAAATATCAAAAGAGATTGTTTGCCTCTAAATTCACCCATCCTCTTTCTTGGTCTTCATGATTGTCAAACCATTTTCAGAAAACACGCTTTGGATTTGATTTTTTTTATTTCTATTGTTTTCTTCTCTTTGGTTTTCTAAAACCGGATTGAAGATGTAAATTTGAATAAGAGATCAAAGTTGTATGTGTAAGAACATGAAATCTAGTTATTATATAGTAAACATTTCTTCTGTAAATAAATTTTGTATTTATTATGTTCGGAAAAAATATAAAATTTTTAAAATATATTTATAAACTATTAAAATAAAATTAATGGAATACGTGTATATGACTCTTGGATTTTGCGGTTAATGTACATAGAAGAGAATTAAACGATTTCTATATAAAAAAAATTATATTTATAAAATAATAAATTTTCTTAATAAAATTTATAGTAGTTTTCATGTTTCAACATAAATTAATAATAGGTTGATCGATTTGAATTAACAATTCAATTTATAGATATTTTAATTTTTTATCGCTAAATTAGATTATCTTTAATTACGATAAAAAAAATTATACCCAAAAAATGTTTATATATGATCGTTCACACAATAATCTTACAACAATTAAAGAGTGCTAAAAAAATATATATACCTATCAAATTATATAAAAATTAAATTATAATCAAGATAAATAATCTTCATGAAGATAAATATACCAGAATATGATTAAAAAAAATGGATTAATGTTATAGAGAAAAAAGGTGGTTCTGAAAATATGATGTCAAAAAAGAAAAAGTGTAGGGTTTTCAATTATGTAAAGGAGAAGAGTAAATTTTTAGGATTTAAAAATTAATTAAATGAAAACTAAATAATGGTACCTGAACTTCTTGTTCTTCTCACTCTCTTCCAATCGGTCACGCATACATACAAGACATATATATACAGACAGACATTTGTACCTCCTCACCTCCATACATCCTATGGGATTCTCGAATTCCGTATTGTAATTAATTTACATAGATGACATTCAATATGTTTCATGAACCTTTTTTATTAATTTTCAGAAATAATCTAGATACATTAGATACTCTGCACACCCATTCCAAATCTCGTCTCATTAATTACTAAATAAATATATTAACAGAATTTACACTTCATTAATTCTTAAAAATATGATACGTGTCACACTCATATCAAACAAACTCTAATTTTATATATAATAATAAAGATATCTTTTTAGAAAATTTTTGTTTTTATTAAATAGATGTCATTTTAGATTTTCTGTTTTTTTAATAAAATTTTAATAGAGTATTGATGAGAATGTGGGTTAATAGGGATATATTTAGAGTTCTATAGTTACTTAAAAATTGAGATAAATAGTATTTATCTATAAAAATATTCTAAATTATAAATTAATATTAAAAAATTATTAGTTGATTGTACCACTTAACTATAAAAGAATTCGGTATATTACAAATAAATTGTATATAATAGTTTTAGTGTAGTCTTTTTTTTAAATTCAACTATAATAAAATGATATATTTTTAAAAATAAAAAATCTAAATATAAAAACAACCACAACTATTACAACTATTACTATATATATATATTTAAAAAAAATCAAAATCTAACAAAGTCTTCACTTCTTCATCTTCAGTCCTTCAATCAGCTCTTTGCTCCTCTTTTTTTATTGATTCTTTTTTTTTTTTATCATCTCTCCCCTAAAATATTAGATCAAACTTGGATTTACTCTCCCTAGTTGTATAATTCATGGACAACCTGAAAAAATAACAATTAGCAAAAAATAATATATCGGAAACTCACAAAATTAAATAGTTGTATAGTAAGCGATGTCATCAGGATAACATTGGATTTTGATTTTTACCGATTAATAATTGTGCTCGAATGAATAATAATTGCGTTAAGTAACATAATCAATGTGTAAATTCGGTATATTCAAGTATTAGTTTGTACGTAATGAAATATCAAATTTGATAAAGATCCAGAATAATAGATAATCAGAAATGTATTCAATCGAGATCTTCAATTGCATTCTATATACGGGTATTTTAAAAAAAAATATAAAACAATATAAAAAAATTCAATATTTACAAATTGGATCGAACACTTTGATTAGAAAAGTTATCCGATAAAACAAAAAAGTACTTGTAAAACAATTAGATCAAGATATTCAAAACATTCATATAGCTATGCATTATAATGAAGAATCACAAACAAAAAGATGAAATGAGAATAAAAATCATGATACAGAGAAAGAAAAAATAATTAAAGCATAGATAATCTGTGCTTTACGTTACTGACCTGGTGTGTTGCAAGGGGAGAGAAAAATTGAGTTTCTAAAAACTCTACAAGCAGAAAAGTTTACCTTCCCCGTCCATGTGCTAGTCATGACCTTTAAACCTTTTAAAGAGAAACAAAAACATATAGAAAATTAAATCTACACACATGCTATTTGTATAATGTCAGAGACGTTTAGTTCATATTCTCTCTGACTCCTCGGACTTTGTGATCAATGTATATTGAAGAACATTTAAATCCGTTCATTAATCTCCGTAACTTTATCCCTTTTTTTTTAGTTGTGAAATGATTGCTTATTTGATTTAGTGGAAGTTACGATGAATATAGATAAATAATATTTAATGTATGAATTTATCTTTTTATATTTTTAATAAGGGAACACGTGTCACCCTCTTATAACTCACTGTACTTTTATATATATAAGATTTTTTTGCAAATACTTTATTACAAACATTTTTCTTTTAAAAAAAAATACCTTTGCAATTATTTAGTGATCTACAAATATTTAACTTCATCGAGTTAATTTTCGGGTTAGTCGAAGGATACCATAACAAAAGAGAACCTACGAGATATGGCGTGAACGTGGAAAGAACGACCCAACAACTTTTTGGCAATTATTATATGTCATGCTAAGGGGACGATGAGGTGTTGTGGATCTGCTGGCTTCTATCGTACAAGTTCCTCGGCCCAATTTTAGAAAAGGAGTGTTCGGCCCAATCTTATTAAGCCCATATTTTAAAATAACTTATTGATTTTTTTTAAAAAAATAGGGTTTCTGGAGCGGCGGCATCTCTCTCTCTCTCTCTCTCTCTCTCTCTCTCTCTCTCTCTC